CGGGAAGATCCCACATGCCGCGGAGCGGCTGGGCCCGTGAGCCATGGCCGCTGAGCCTGCGCGTCCGGAGCCTGTGCTCCGCAGCGGGAGAGGCCACGACAGTGAGAGGCCCGCGAAAATAAAAAAATAAAAAAATAAAAAAATAAAAATTAAAAAAAAAAACTTCTTGTTGAAAACTGGACATTCTAGGTAATATCTTGCAGCTACCCTGCACCTGAATTTTTCCCCCCAGTTGTTTGCTGTTTACTAAGCCGCTGGGCTAATAAGCCTGTGAACTCATCTCCCTCGGACAATGTGGCCAGTGCTTCATTTTTCCACGTGCTCCTCTTTATTTTCAAGCTTGGCTTCCTTGGGGTCACCACCGTGTCTGCACAGCTGTGTGACTGGACCACACTGGACAGAGCACAGGGCTTAGCAAACGTGTGTCATGTGCCAGCAGCCAGGACACTGAAGGCTCTGCTGGCCTCACAGTGGCCTTAGACCCCAACCTCCCAGCTGCATCTCACACTCCCTGAGTCCTGAGAACGAAGGCTCTCCTCACACCTGCTGTACCTGCCCTCTGTTCGGCCCTGGCTGCTGGGAATGTCAGCACCTTCCAGCCTGCTACGTTCCTTCCGTGGAGCAGCGCAGCTCTCAAGCTCTCTCTGGAAATGACCGCAGGACCCAGAGGTGGCCCTAGGATTCACACCTGGGCCACGCAGAACAGATCTGGGGTGAACAGATGCTCTCTCCTGGAACTCTTAAGCCCACACAAAGGCACCTGGAGACGAAGGGCCAGGAGTCTGGTATCCCAGCTCCCGGGCCATTCAAGGCCTTTGGGATTGCCTTTGTCACTTCTCCTTTTGTCTCTTGTTTGGAAGAACCAGAGTCTATTTCTGCTGCGACCCCAGACAACCCTAAGCAACACATCTTGTTGGTCTTCCTGGACAAGGCCCCCTGGAACAGAGCTGGTGCAGAGCAGGTGCTCCACACACACCTGCCAAGTGAGCAGACGGGGAATCGCCCACACCCCAGGCCTCCCCGCACTGACTCTGCCTCAGGACTCACGTGCAGGGACTGGCTGCCCCCAGAATGGCTCCACCCGGGCCTGGACAGCCGCTCCCCCCCTCCCGCCA